CCGTGGTTCGACGATCCGGAGTGGGTCGAGGACATCTGTGAATCTCAGCATTTTAAGGAGTTGTTTCGATATCATTTCAAACAGACTGGTCACATCAATGTTCTTGAATGTCGTGTTTACAAGAGTTTTTTGAAACACGCTGCAAAAGCACACGCTCGACAGCGTCTCGTCACACTTCTGGACAGTCGTGTAACAATGGGAGCAGTCGCAAAGGGGCGCAGCAGCAGCAAAGCCCTGAGTCGTGTGTTAAGGACATCATTGTGTTATGTTCTTGGTGGCTCACTTTACCCCGGTTCTTTACACTGCAGGTCAAAGTGGAACAGGGCCGACGGGCCCTCCCGAGACAGGGAGGTTGAAGGGCCCACTCGGAATGAGCCCCCTTGGTTGACACAGTTGAAAGTTGGAAACTTCGTTCTGTTTGATCAGATGGTTTCTTCAGCTGCCTGGATCCGACCAATTGGTCGTTGGATCCGCTTGTTACTTTTGTTGGCAGGTGACGTCGAGGAGAACCCTGGTCCTGTGCGTGTTGGAGCAGGTGCTCCTAGGGGTGATTTGAACCTGTTGGGCGGGTTTGCGCGGACGACCTCAGACAGGATGGCAAAGTGCCTCCGAGCGTTTGAAGACTGGTGTGGGCAGACCGTCAATCTGTCCCTTGCACAAGTTCTTGAGAACGTTGAGACGGCAAACTTAGCTTTGAAAGCCTATGGGATGCACTTGTTTAAGCAGGGCTCTCCCAGGTATTTACTTGTTTATGCAATCACCTCAGTGCAGCAGCTGAGACCAGAGTTTAGACGTCAACTTTGCGGGGCTTGGCAAGTGGACAAGCGTTGGCAGATGGAGGAGCCCGGCCAATGTCGAGCGGTGCTCTCTGCACCAGTGCTGCGTGCAATTCTTGCTTTGGCTTTGATGTGGGATTGGTACGCCTTCGCGGGCATTGTTTCTCTTGGCTTTGGCTGTATGCTCCACCCAAACGAGTTTTTGAATTTGATTCGGAAAGATCTTGTCTTTCCGGAAGACACGTTGATGGAGCAACACATGATCTATGTTTTCATTCGCAACCCAAAGACAGCTCGGTTCGCCCGACGTCAGCATTCTCGTTTGGACGATCCGTCGCTTCAGTTCTTGGTCCGTTGCGTGTTCAGACATTTAAGCCTGGAGGACAGACTCTTTCCCGCCTCTGTTGCAGCCTTTAGGAGGCAATGGAACTCGCTTCTCGACCGTCTTGGGGTTCCCCGTCGACAGTCTGAGGGCGGCGCGACACCGGGAACCCTTCGAGGTTCGGGAGCTACACATGAATATCTGCAGTCAGCTGACATTGTGTCGATTCAGTGGAAAGGACGCTGGAGCCAAATCAAAACTTTAGAACATTACATCCAAGAGGTTGGAGCACAGTTGTTCTTATTTAACTTGAGTGCAACAGCGCGCCAGCGGACTCAGTTCTTGAGTGACCACCTCCCTGTCGCACTTCAGCACCACTTCCCGAAGGAATTTTCACGATTTTGCAATGCAGAACAGTAGGATTGGAATGCGGCCGTTGTTTACATTGCTTGATTTCATTGTGGAGCATTGTC